TATGGAAAGTTTCTAAAAACACAAATTCTACTGCAGAAAATTAGGTTCTCTGACTCGATCAGTCCCACTGGGTTGGAAAGAACTCGTCCTCGAGTTTTGAGAGTTGGGCAGCAAATACAGTGGCTCATCGTATATTAGTATAAACAAGATTTCATACCATTGAAGACTTGATCTTAATGTCACAAAATCTTGCTTTATAATTTTCTGGCCTTTAAAGTTATCATGGGTTGGACGGTCACCATTAAAGATTTCAGTAGATGCCATTTGCAATCCATGGTGATGATACATCACTGAAGCCACTTCATCAGATCTATGTTCATTAAACCTGTAGTCATCTAGCCCACAAATTGCACTTGAAGAAAGGAACTTTAGTACTTCCCACTGTCCAAGGCATAAATCCCCTATCCAATGGAAGCCCGGTGATCCATAACTAAGGTAATAGGTGTCAACTAATTTGCCAAACACATTCAAGCTGTCCAAAATATTATTTGGGACATGGCTATGCATGAGAAGGCGTAGACCTCGCTCATGGACATTATCAATAGATAATTGGAGGTCGTCCTCATTCTGGATGCAAACTAAGTTAACACCCTTAGCATTAGTATGTGTGATCACGAGCTACGGCTCTTCCAACTTGTTTTTATTTTTCTCTTTAAAACACTGGTCAATATCACCAGTTGAGTAAACATGGGTTCTCTCACCCCTGCACTTTTGTTCCTCTGTTCTCGGCTAAGGACTCCACCATACCAAAAAAATCGGAATAATTCTGAAAATACTTGGGGATTTCATAATCATAAAGGAAAAGGTCAATGTTGGCCACCCCAAGGAACAACCAAGCTAGGCCACCAAACTTGAATGGAGATCCAAATTTCATAAACTTACCACATAGGTAGCCTTTGAATGGAGCAAGACTAGTACCAGCAGCAATCATCATGTGGGTGAGGCTTGGGTGATCTTGAGGCAAAAGCTTTATCTTGCCAGGAGGACATGTGACCTTAACTTTATCTTCACGTTTCGAGTTGCATAAGTAAATGCTATATATACCATTGTTCGAAAGGTCCTCTTTTTCTATCTCAAGACCACTATAAACAACACGACGAACACATGAAGTTGCTGTCTTGCCATCAAAAGAGTCTCCATACTTGGAGGATACAATTGAGAAAAGACGAGGATTCTAGGTAGTTCCTGTTTTCTACGGATTTTCTTTTTTTTTTTTGATAAGTAAAGATGTATTAGAAAGCGTTCGAAAAAGGAACGCATCCCAAGAGCTATACAAGGCCGATGCCAAGAAAGAGGTCCAAAGGACCTAAAAAACCCAAAAAATCAACGATTTCCTCTATGGATATACAATTTCTCCCCATCACCCAACTAAAAAGAGAACAACTAATAACATATTTCAAGGCCGCAATGGAAGATTCTTTACCTTCAAAAGATCTACTATTCCGCTCTTTCCAAATGCACCACCAAACGCAAAGAGGGGTCGCCCTCCAACAGTCACGGGTGTGGGCCCCAACGTTGAATCCTCTCCACACATCAATCAATTCCCTTGCAGATCGAGGCATGACCAATTGGACACCAAACAAACCAAAAATAAGGCTCCAACAGTCGTAAGCCACGGGGCAATGCAAAAAAAGGTAATGCACGGACTTTCCATCATTTTTACACAAACAACACCAATTAACAGTAATATGAATTCTCTTTCTAAGATTGCCCATGGTCAATATCTTACCCCAAACTGTCGTCCACATCAAAAATGCCACTCTGAGAGGAGCCTTAGATCGCCACATCGTCTTCCACAGGAAGACAGATACATGAGTCCTGGAGAGACAAAGGAACACGGAACGGACCTCGAACCTCCCCTGAGGAGAGGGCACCCAAAATAAGGAATCAGAGCCTCTACCATCCACCTTCTGCCTATACAAGAGATCCAGTAAGCAAGAAACATCTTCCACCTCCCGATCCTGAAACGATCGCCAAAAACGCACGTCCCACGAAAACCTACCGCTATCAAGTCGATAACAGGCAGCCACCATGGCATGTCTAACGACAGCAATTATGAAAAGTCTGGGAAACAAATAAGACAGCGAGCGATCCCCGCGTCATAAATCCTCCCAGAACCGAACATCCTTGCCCTCCCGACATCTGAATCTAATGTGCATAGAAAACTCGTCCCAGCCCTTCTGAATAGACTTCCTTCCACACTCCAACATCAGCAACAAACCTAGCCAGACTAGAGGACCACCCTCCTGTCTCCTCCCCAAAGCGGCACACAATCACTCTCCTCCACAGATGATGTCATTCACTACCAAATCTCCACAGCCACTTCCTAAGGAAAGCTTTGTTGAAAGGGACCAACCTCCTAATGCCAACACCACCCGACGAAAGAGGCTTGAAAACTTACTCCCAACGGACAAGATGATACTTGAACTCCTCTCCCCAGCTGCCCCACGGGAAATTCCGTTGAAGAGTCTCAATCCTTCCAGCTACAGATGAGGGGATCTAGAAGAGAGAAAGGAAATAAATTGGAAGGCTCGGCAATGTACTCTTCATGAGAGTAACCTTCCTGCCCTTCAAAAGATACTGCTTCTTCCACCCAGCCAGTCTTCTCTCAAATCATTCAATCACTAAATCCCAACCTCCCACCTTCCTCGACAAGGCGCCCAGAGGCAAACCCAAAAAAGAAATAGGAAAGGAGCACGTCCCACATCCAAGAACCACAGCAAGAGAAGCAACATCCTAAACCTACCCCACCGGTACAAGCACACTCTTGCCCACATTAACTTTAAGGCCCGAGACTACCTAAAAGCAAACCAGAACAAACCTCAAATATCTTAACTGGGACACCTCCGCATCACAGAAGACCAGTGTATCATCAGCAAACAACAAATGGGAAATCTCCATATATTGGGGGGACTCTAAACCCACCCTGAACCCCCTCATAATCCCAGAGCCACTGCCCTCCTCATCAACCTACTAAGGGACTCCATAACAATAAGAAACAAGAAACAAGAAAGGGGGTCTCCCTATCTCAATCCTCGAGAGCTACCAAAGAAACCGGATGGAGACTCATTGACCAACACAGAAAATCTAACAGAAGATATGCAAGCCTCAATCCATCTCCTCCACTTCTCACCAAATCCCAACCTCCCTTGCAAATATAAGAGGAAACTCCAGCTAACATGATCATAAGCTTTCTCAATATCCAACTCACACAGGACTCCAGGAACACCACTCATCAACCTGAAGTCCACACATTCACTGGCGATAAGAGCGAAGTCAAGAATCTGCCTACCACCAAGAATGCATTCTGGAACTCTGAAATGACTCCATCTACAACATCCCTTAATCTCAACGCAAGATCTTTAGCAATAAGCTAATAAATACACCGCAGCAAACTTATAGGTCTAAAATCCTTGACATCAGAAGTTCCACCCTTCTTCGGAATATGGGCAATAAAAGATGTGTTTAGCAACTTTTTGAACCTCCCGTTAAAATAAAACTCATGAAAAGTTCCCATCACCTCATTTCTCAACACACACCAGCTTTCTTCAGATTTTCACTTTACTGCCCGAACTCATCTATCTCTTCTTCAACAGGAAATTTGAAATTTCATTTATCTGATCATCAACTAATCCATGTTGCTTACCTTCATTAGCAAAAATTCTTGTCATCGTCTACCATAATACATGCAGAAGAGACCACATAACCCAAAAATACTAATATGTCTGCTGCAAAACTGCACTTCTTAAGGTTAGCATATAAGTGTTTTCTCCTCAATATATCAAAAACTGAACAAAGGTGTTGTAGGTTCTCATCAATGCTGCGACTGTACACCAAAATATCATCAAAATAAACAACTACGCACCTGCCAATAAGTGGTTTCAGAACTTGGGTCATCACACGCATGAAAGTGCTAGGTGCATTGGATAATCCAAATGACATTACTAACCACTCGTACAATCTATCCTTAGTTTTAAAAGCCATTTTCCATTCATCACCCAGCTCTGATACCAAACTGATGCTGCCTTACCCAGAGGGATACAATTAAATCGTCTTCTTCCTCCGAGTAATCATCATATTTTGGCTTGACCACCAGGGTTGCATCATCTTCCTCGATCAAAAGTAGTTTTTATTCTCCAACAAAAATATTTTGCAAATTCAAGAACTTCCTCCTTAGTGTCACCATCCCAACACCTTTCATCAAGTGGAATAGGAGTTCGTCTACATGTTGCGTTACTGCAAAAAAGATTGACAAAATCTTCTTCAAGATTGTCCTCCTCCTCATGAAACTCAAGAATTTCTAATTTGACATTTGCAAGCCAACGACTCAGTCCACTTGTCGGGTGATCTATGGCAACGCGGAAAATAGAATGGATTTTCCATAATATTCTCGGTGTTTGACACATCATCCACCAAAACATTGTCATCAACCGGCTGGTTGACAACATGTTGACCCAAAGGTTAAGTCAACAAGTCAACTTGTCTCTGCAAAAACTCTATCTCGCCATCGTGTTGCTTGGGTAAGGGTTCAGTCAGAGAACCTGCATCCTATAATTTCCTCCCCTCAATAGTTGTCGTGTAGGCATGATTGAGCAGTCGGAAACACGAAATCTAAGCTCTGATACCAAACTGATGCCGCTTTACCAAAAGGAGATGATCAAATTGTCTTCACAGCAATTTTGAAACGAAATAGAAGAACAATGCAAGAGAAAAGGAGAAATTGCAAAGCAAATTTTATTCGTTGTAACATATAATAATAATCTCTTCAACTAAACTACCAAACCCAAGCAATTACAAGGCTTTGTATAGAATTTCTTGTTCTCCAATCCTAGCCTTATATTAGGTGACTACCAAATATAAAATAAAATCAAAATAGGAAAGTTGCTGAAAATTATAAAACTACACATAACAAGGAAATTTTCAAAATATGGGAAGTTTCAAAAAACACAAATTCTACTGCAGAAAATTAGGTTCTCTGATTGCATCAGACAAAAACATACCGAAGGTTTGATGCCCTTATATCTGTGATAATATAAGGACCCATGACTGTCAAGAACAAAGAATCGCCTCTTCCAATCTGCCCTCAAACTTGAGGATCGTTTTAAGAGATATCCTTGCTTGATTGTTTGGACCTATGAAAGATAAAATAGCCTTCACAAACTACAAAACAGTAAATGAAATTTTTTTTTTTTTTTTTTTATAAGTACAAAACAATAAATGAAATTAAGCAATCAACAATTGAAATTCAATATTTAAGAAATTAGAGATCAAGAGAAGAGAATATATGTTACTATATATCAAAGGTACTTGGATTGAGTGACAAAAAATGCATCAACAAACCTGTGAGGCCCGAGTTCACTATTCATTTTTCTGCATTTCTTGTTTTTTATGCATTGTGTACTTTATGTGTGGGGATGTGTGCCACGAGGGTTCCGGAATCCTTTTGGACAATTCTTCAAGTCACGGACTATTAGAAATGCATTTAGAGTCCCTTTGTTCATTTCGGGATTGTGGGCCCAAGTTGGATTTCATGCTCAGGAAACTTCCAGACTTCATTTATTCATTATATTCTATGTTGGGATACTTTATTTTGCCTTGGTGTAGCTTATTTGTATATGTATGCTTAGGTGTATAGTAAAGGGACATGGTTCTCATTTTAATGGTTGTAGTGGAAAGTGGGTCCCAACCCCCACTTACTTGTGGATATACATATAAGAGAGTTAAAGAAATGAGAACCATTTTTCTCCCCCTCTATAGAAACCGGATATACACCCACACAGAGCCCATTTTCTTCTTCTCCAATTTTCATGATTTAGATGAAGTTTCATCTAGCTCCACCTAGAATTTGAAGAAGCCATAGTTGAAGAGAGTGTAAAGCAAGCCAAGGGCTACCTCTCCATAGTCTTGGATTTCAATTTGATGCACATTCAGTCTTGGGACACTTAGGGTTTTTCACCTATTTTAAGGTAGTGGTGTCTAACTTTCAATTCCTTTGTCTATGTAAGAGCCTTTGTGATCCTAGGTGCTTTCCATGATGTAAATATATATATATAGACATGTATAAATCTATGCATGCTGATGTTTGAGTGCTGAAAATTTGCAATTTGATGCTGGAAAATAATATATTAGTTGCTGGAAAATGATAAATTCATGTTGGAAATCATTTATTAGCTGCAGGAATATAATATTTTATGCTATAAATTATATATTATTGATTAGTTGCTAGAAAATGATAAACCCATGCTGGAAATTAGTCATTTTACAGCATGATAAACTCATGCTGGAAATTAGTCATTACGACACAACTCTCTGTTTCTAATAGATCTTAAAGGTCAAGCTAAGATATCTGTAAATGGACTAGATAAACCTTGTAAGTTTGAGTTCATTTTGAAATTCTATTCCGTATTTCTTCTTTTTTGTTCTTGTGGGAGATGGAGATTGGATTTCATCAAAGAGATCAGGGCGTTTTATTGATTTTGTAATCAGTGGTGCTGTAATTGAGGCCGAGCCTGAGCCGAGCCCAAGCTTGTAGAAACTTTATCGAGCCCGAGCCCGAGCCCAAGCACCTCTCTGGAACTGACGAGCTGAGCCCGAACAACCTAAGGCTCGGCTCTGCTCGGTTCATTTGCAGCCCTACAGAAAATTATAACTAAAGTGCTGGAAATCATATGGAGGTGCTGGAAATTTTGTCAATTGATGAATTGCATATTCTTGAAGTTGAATTTGAATTATAGCATGCTTAGTTGCCTTGCTCAATTTGAACTCAATTACCCAATAGCATGCCATGTGTTTGTTTAAATTTCACAAGAAGTTGCCCTAGTGATATGTGTGTAATATGGAAACATGTTGTATGACAACTCCTCTATTAACATACCATCTTGCATTGCATAGTGTGTGTGTGGTGGAATGCAAGTGTGAGAATTGAGTTTCACAAGTTTGTTGACATTGATTTTCCTAAGTTTGTGGAAAATATCTTTAAAAATGGGATTGGTTGTGGTTGAAATAGGAAGGGCGTGGCTCTAGGATTGAAAATCCCAAAACTTGGCCAAGCAGGCGTCGCTACCGACAGGCTAGTAACCATGAAGCCAGGGTAGGGATATGGAGAGGTACCTCGTATTCGGATGTGAACCAATCCGTGTGTTTGAGTTGGATTTTGGACTACATGCATATGTTAAGTGTGAGTCCATGTGTCTGGTTGCATAATGAGTAGGTGTGTATTAATGTGTAATGGACAATGAGATTTCCAGTGTTGCTCATTTTCAAACCATGTTGCATTTCAATTACGTTCATCTTGGTATTATTCATTGAGACTTATTGACGCATGTTTACTTTTCTACTTCTTTAAATGCAAGCATGACCCCTCATTTCTTGATTGTACTATGTGAGCATGACTTATGTGGCCTTAGGAACTGTTAGTTAGCCACTTTCTATTGAGCAATGTAAGCTCACCCATTGACAATTTCAGGTGAAGTTCAAGCGGAGGGAGAAATTCCTCAATCTCAATCTTGAAGTTGCTACTGTGGAGCCATGGATGTGTTTTGCTATTACTAGCATGTTGTAGCTTTTTGGTGGAACTTGATGCTATACATGGAAGTGTTATGTAGTTTGATGCAAGACATGTAATATTTTGGAAAACATGTATATTTTGATGTATAGCATGTATAGCTAAGGACATGGTTTTGGGACAATTATGATACCATACTTAGGTCCATTTGGATGCTTGTGACCGTGGATACTAAAATAGGTCATTTTATTTGGCTTGAATAAGAGCCAGTTAACATGCTTTCTGGCACATGATTTGGATCCTATGGATTCGGGTCATGACAAAACCTATAATGGAAAACTATGTGAAAGAAATTATTTACCTCCCCTTTTGCAGTGGATTGCATAATTGCTTCTATGTTCTTGTAAGAAATCATACCGACACCATTAATAGCAGCAGTACTTGTTGAGGCTCCCACATTACTGGTAGCTCGTAAAAGGTCCAGCTCTGCTTGTGTCCTGAACTCCTGAATTCTCTTTGCAAGTTTGTCTTGTTCAGTATTGGCAAGTTCTTTAGATTGTTGTGCGTAAGTTAATACCTGATTTCAAGAGAAGCAGATATTATGCATGAGGACATAATCTCCCTGAAATGAGTCTGAAATGCGTAACTACAGTAATACTGAACTAAAAATAAACTAATAACCATTCTAAGACACCACCCATGAATTCAAGTACATCAGAAACTATTAATGTGCATGTTATGAATACAGATGCATATCACCAATAAACAAGCTGGTGATAAACAACAAAAGAGTTCAAACTGCTTAGCATGAAGGTAAGCAAACCAGGAAAAAATGTTTTATGCATAAATAAGATTTCAAAATTAGAAGATCAAATGTAGTTTGAAAGATGTTGATGCAGTAAATAATGTGTTGTAAAGTATCTAATCAAAGTTTATTGCATAGTAATTATGGTATGGGGAACTGAAGATGTCATAGGAATACCAGAAGTTGTTATTAATGTTGTATGGGAAGCTCAAAGGTCTTTCTAGAAAAGTCTAAGTGTCATTAAAGCTGTACTACAAAAGGACCAGCCCTCTTTTTCTGCTGGAACAAGTCTTGATCAATATATTCTTGAGATACTATCAATTTATAAACTATTCTTCAGGCTTTTCTCAGACACTTTAGACATCTAGGCTCCAATGGTGATTGAAGTGGTTCTAATCTATCATACAGCTTTAAGAGGACTTCTGCTTTGTCGTTGTCTTCTCTAAGTGGTATAAGAGCCTGTCCTCCATATCTATGACTTTTTGCGGATCTATGGCTGGGTAAGGAAACAACCAAATAGGCAATCAGGAGAATGCAGAGATAGCTCAAGTAATAAATGTTGGTAATGTGGTTACAAAAGAAGCCTTAGAGATCCTGCAGCAACAAATTAATCAGTTGCGCACAAGGTTAGAGCAAACTGGAATCATTAGTCCTCCTAAACCAACCATTAGGAGATAAAGGGAACATCAAATGAATCTATATCAACATGGAAACCAGAGGAACCAGACAGTTTCAGAAATATTTCAACTTGTAGAACAATTTTAAGTTGAAGAAGACGGAGTTTTACAATTTACAAAGTAGCTGATACTTAATCATAAGATTGAGGAAGATGGCAATCCCCGTTGTTAGGTATCTAAGTCATGTGTTGGCATATTCCTACTTAAACTTGTGTTGTAATGTGTCTATATCTACTGAAGACATGGCAGACACAGAACGCAAACTCGGCATCCTCAGTCACATATCTAGGGCAAAGTCAAAGATGTAAATTATACTAGTTTGATCTTGGTAAGGCTCACAAATTTGTTTTAAATGTGTTTTCGAACAATGGCTTTTAAAAGACTATGTTATACACATTTTTCAAAACTGGATTTTAAGCATGAAAAAAATGTGTGTCGATCAATTGAACATTTTCCAGTAGCCATTGATCCATCGAGATTTTGCAAAATTTGAATAGTATGCCTCAACCGAAGTGTATACAGATCGAGGTCAATCCAGTAAACTTCAATGGGTGGAGAGATCGAACTCGATGGAGTGGAGATTCAGCTTCAAAAGAGCTTGGAGCAAATGTAGGGTTCAACATCCAGTTGTGCCTTGGGCTTCTGTCTCCTGGAGTGGAGGTAGACCACGCTGTTCAGTCACTGCTTGCTTGGTTCTGTTAGATAGAGTGGCCACTTTCTGTAATCTGCAGAGAAGAGGTTTTCAGCTGGCTTCTATTTGTGTGAATTGTAGGTGCTGCATCTGAAGAGATTGATCACCTTTTCTTTGGGTGTTGCTTTGCCTCAGAAGTCTCAAGTTGGTTTCAGCGGTTCTTCATTGGAACTGGCCACACTTTAATCCCGAGGGAGGTGTGCTTTTACAGCTGGTGCACTGGTTTCAGCATAATGTCCAACATTCTCTTCATTGACAGCTGTTTGCAGCTATCATTTGGGGTATTTTTTTTTTTTTTCTTTTTTTTTGATAAGTAAGAAAAATTTTATAAAAGTGCTCAAAAGGGGAGCGAAGCCCAGAAGATATACACAAGGCCACTAAGGACCTTTAAGCCTTCAAAGAGGCCAAAAAATCGACAATTTCCTCTAAAGATCTATGATCTCTCCCAGAAACCCAACAAAAAAGGGTAGAAATAATAGAGAATTTAATAGTAGAAATCGACAACTCCTTCCCATCAAAATATCTCCTATTCCTCTCGAGCCAAATACACCACCACACACAAAGAGGCATAGCCCTCCAAGCATCCAGAATGTGAGCCCCCACATGGCAACCTCTCCAAGCCTCAATCAACCCTCTAACGGATCCAGGCATAACCCAAAGAATCCCAAACAAGCCAAACATCAAATTCCAGCAGTCTCTAACCATGGTGCAATGGAGGAGAAGGTGATCCACAGTTTCCTCATCCCGAAGACACATATAGCAACGATTAACCACCACCTAATTTCTCCTTCTCAAATTATCCTGGGTTAAGATCATTCCCATAACAAAAGTCTAAGCGAAAAAAACCCACCTTGAGAGGAGCCTTAGAGCGCCAAACAGCCTTCCAAGGAAAGCGAACTCTAGGATCATCTGCGAGGCATCTGAAAAATGATCTAACCTCAAAGCGCCCCTGAGAGTTGGCAACCCAGGACCAACTATCAGAAACCCCATCCACAATCCTCTGGCGATACAACAACTCCAAAAAACGAATGGCCTCCTCAATCTCCTAATCCTGAAACAACCTCCTGAATCAAACATCCCAAACCAGTGTCTCGTTATCAAGATGATAGCAATTAACCACTATGGCCTGCCTATCCGTAGCAATCCTGAAAAGTAGAGGAAAAGTGAGGGCGAGAGGAGAATCCCCACACCAAACATCCTCCCAAAAACTGATCCTCCTACCATCCCTGATTCGAAAACGAACGTGTTTGGAAAACTCATACCATCCCTTCCGAATGACTTTCCAAACCCCCACACCCCGAGGGCCACGCACCTCCAGAGAACACCACCCTCCTTTAGACTCCCCAAAGAAACAAGCAACGACCCTCCTCCAAAGCCAATGCCTTTCCACTCCAAATCTCCACAACCATTTTCCAAGGAGAGCCTTATTCAAAGGCACTAGTCTTCTAACACCCAAACCTCCATAACGAATTGGCCTGCACACTTGATCCCAGCAAACCAGATGAAACTTAAACTCTTTTCCTCTACACCCCCCCCCCCCCCCCCCCCCCCCCCCAAAAAAAAAAAAAAAAAGAAAATTACGCTACAATCTCTCAATCATCTCTGTAACTGAAGAGGGAATCTGAAACAAAGAGATAAAATAAGTAAGAAGGCAAGAAAGTGTGCTCTTAATCAGAGTGACCCGACCTCCCTTGGAGAAATACTGCTTCTTCCAACCCGCCAACCTCTTCTCAAACCTATCCACCACAGGGTCCCAAACCCCAACACATCTCGAAGGGACCCCCAAAGGCATCCCTAAGTAAGAGATGGGAAAAGAGCCAATACGACAACCAAGAATATCAGCAAATAACTCAATCTCAAGGACCTCTCCCACTGGCACCAAAACGCTTTTACCCACATTCACCTTAAGGCCAGAAACAACTAGGAACCAGATTAGGACACACCTCAGAAATCTAAGCTGGGACACATTCGCATCACATAGAACCAAAGTGTCATCGACAAACATCAAATGGGAGACCTCCAACTGGGGAGCAGCATCCCTGCCCACTCGAAAGCCTATCAACAGCTCAATAGCCTTGCTCATCAGTCTGCTAAGGGCCTCCATCACAAACAGGAACAAGAAAGGGGAAAGCAGATCCCCTTGTCTTAAACCCCTCGAGCTAGAGAAAAAACCGGTAGGAGCACCATTCACAAGAATCGAAAAGCGAGCACTGGAAATACAAAAATGAATCCATCTCTTCCACCGATCACCAAACCCCATCCTCTCCATCAGGTAAAGAAGGAAGCTCCAACTCACATGGTCGTATGCCTTCTCCAGGTCAAGCTTACACAAAGTTCTCGGGACCCCACTACGCAAACAGGAGTCCACACACTCACTAGTAATAAGAACTGAGTCCAAAATCTGACGACCTCCCACAAAAGCATTTTGAGAATCAGAAATGATGCCATCCAAGACTTTCCGTAACTTTGAAGCAAGGACCTTAGCAATCAACTTGTAGAAACACCCCACCAAACTAATAGGGCGAAAATCCCAAATATCCATCAACGCCCCCCCCCCCCCCCCTCCGGCCCCCCCCCCACTTTTCGTAATGAGAGAAATGAAAGTGGCATTCAAGCTCTTCTCAAAAAAGCCCCAAGCATGGAAAGCATGAAAAGAACCCATCAACTCCCCTCTAACCACCTTCCAGCACTCCAAAAGGAATCTCATGGTAAAACCTTCAGGACCTGGGGCTTTGTCCCCGTTACAACTCTTAAAAGCAATTAGAACTTCCTCTTTAGAGAAGGCTCCTCAAGACCCGAGCACTCCTCACTAGAAATAGAGGTAAACTGAAGCCCTTCAAGCAAGGGTCTCCACTCAACAATCTCAGTGAACTACTTCTCGTAGAACTCTGAAATGCCCTTGCAGATATCCTCCTCCTTGCAAAGAAGCTCCCCTTCCACCTGAATCCTCCCAATATGGTTGCCCCTTTTATAAGCATTGGCTAATCTATGAAAAAATATCGTGTTACTATCCCCCTCCTTGAGCCACAAAGCTCTAGACTTTTGTCTCCACAAGATCTCCTCCATGATCGCAATCTCAGCAAACTCTGCCTTACACTCCGCCCTCCTAACCTTCAAAGCATCTGCCAGATCCCCTTGACCCTCCATCCTATCAATATCAGCAATCTCAGCCAGAACCCGATTTTTCCTCCACACAAGATTCCCGAAGACCTCTTTGTTCCAAATCTTAATACTTCCCTTCAAAAGACGCAAATGACCTGCAAGCGAATGACTTGGGGTGCCAACCACCCCGAACCCCTCCCACCAAAATCGGACCCTTTCCAGGAAACCCTCAGCCCGAAGCCACATATTTTCAAATCTAAATGGAGAGCGTCTACTCCGCAACCCGCCACAATCCAGCATCA